GACGGTGACAATGACACACACACAGAAGCGAGGCAACGAGTCCTTTCCACAAGGATTTTAGGTTTCCCAAATGTGTTAGATGATCGTTTTGAGGTTTTCGAACCTGAGTTGAATCAGGAAGAGTCGTGTTATGTCACAGTATTGCCAGAGATATAAATTCATAACAGTCTAAAAAGCTTAGCGTTCAACCACAGCCCTTTAAAAATGAAGCTCTTGATTCAAAATTATGTGGTGAAGTTCAAGTTCCCAGAGAACTCCTGCTGTCTGGGGGATGTTCTCCATAGTGGGTTGGGGGAGGGGGCGCTGGGAGAGGCTGAGCTGGGAAGTGGTCCTGGAGGGAGAAGAGTTCAGGAAAGGGACATTAAACCTCGGGGCAGAATGCATGTGAAAACCCATCAAACAGCTTGGCGCTCTGCTCTGGGCTCCTTTTACTAGCTGGGTTTCCCCTGGGGGAAATGGCTTAGTTTCTCCCACCCTTGGTTCCCACAGAGTGGTTGAACTGTCTTGGAATCCAGTTTTTGTAAGTGACCATCTCGGGACTGCAGTGGGGGCTCTGCAGGCATGGGCTGAAGCCCACCCTTAGCTTAGTCTCCAGACCACCCACCTGGCCGGGGAGCTGGGGACATGGCTGGGGAAGCGGCAGGGGTTCTCTAGAACTCTTTCCCTCACCTAGTGTAGTCAGAGGAGCCCAGGCTTTGGGCAGGTGTTTACATACAGAACAGGATGTTTAGTATAGCTAGGGGCAAAGGCAGGCCCCTCTTACAGAGACTTGTTTTTGAAGTGTGGTGGGAGGGAAGGGTCCTACTGACTGGTGGGAAAGACCACAGCCCTGTGATAAAATTTAGAAGCCAAGAGAAGAAGGGGAGCTGTTGGGTAGGTGGCGTGTCCAGTGTCATGGATTGCAAACTCCTCAAATCCCTTAGGGAGTACAATGGCCTGCCAGTCCTGAGAACCAGCTCTGGGTAGAGAGGCTGCTGAACTGAGGGAGTTCACAGTGAGGGCCCGAGGTATGCGGCAGCTCACTCGTGTTGGTGTGACCAGGGCTGCAGCTGGTGGGAAGCGACCAAGCCCCAGCACATCCCCTCCCCAGGCCCGGCACTGCACGCTCACCCCAGGGAAATGAGCAGGGGAATGCGTACCCCTCCTTCTTGGTGCCCACTGAGGTCCTTTTTAACCTAAAGATTGGGCTAAAAACGTATGTTGAAGGCTTCTCCATTACCAAGTCTCAGATAATATTTCTATACGCACACACTATTTTAGAGAACGCAGGTCTTTGGTGGCTGACTCTGACTTTTTCTATCTAGCTTTCTTTGAAATCTCCTGAGATGCTGATCAGCCTTGAAGGGGGTGGACATAAGGGCATCCTTTATCCTGTTAAGGATGATGTAATTGTCGTAGATATGGCTTACGAACCTTCTGTGGTTGACATAAGAACAATTCAGGGACAAATGATGACTGTTTCAGAGAACCACAGGAAGAATTGGAGAGGAGCAGTTCTTTCTGAGCTAAATCTCATCCAGTAGGTAATTATTTGTTTCTCTGATGAATGAGATAATTCACGTGTAACCTGTGATATCGTCCTAGAGGGCAGTTTGCTGGGTTGAAGAAGAGTACGTTTTAGGTAAGAAGCAAAACAGTACCTTGGTAGAAAACTCTGCACTTGCTAGGTCTCCATGCCCAGTGCATATATGAAAACTGATAAGTTTATCTACAAGGAGGTGCCCTGTCTCCCAGAATCATCGACAGCTGATAAGATTTTAATTGTTACATTAAAGCAGCTAGATATACTTTTACTGAGAGTACTAGCTCTTCTGTTTTTAGAATTACGTGTATGACAATATAGCTAAACCCAGATAACAGAAGTGGCTTTGGACAGCTGGCTTATGAACTCACTGTGTGTAAGACTTTGACTGCAATGGGTTTTATACAACTGAAAAGAAAACAGAAAGAAGTCGATGATGAAGATGCAGGAGACGCTAAGAACCATTTGCACATGTGCCTGTCACAGGGCCTGGCGCATACTGAGCTCCCGATACCTGGTTGTTGATAACAATGAATGAACAGATGAACTAGGAGACTGAAAAAAAGGCACCTCTTGATCTTCAGATTGTCACATAGTGGAGCCAAAATAATATCCTGTGACAGTAATGAGGACAGGAGAAAACATTGTCATATCTTAGTAATCAATCAAAATAGGAATGTGATGAAACATTATAAAAAATGTCATTTTGCTTAACAGAATTAATAAAATTTAGAAAGTAAGAATAGCTGAGATTTGAACATCTCTGTCTGTCAGGCATTGCACTTGGCATACGGTGGTAGGCAAACCAGCCCTAGACCTACTTCAGGTGTCAGGCATTGCACTTGGCATACGGTGGTGGGCAAACCAGCCCTAGACCTACTTCAGGTGTCAGGCATTGCACTTGGCATATGGTGGTAGGCAAACCAGCCCTAGACCTACTTCAGGGAGTTTGTGTAGTGGGAGAAAATGACCTACCATGAAATGTGTAATATGAATCAAAGTTAAGATACTGCAGGGAAATATTGCAGTTCTATAAAAGCATCCAGCAGAGGAACTCTAGGCTGGAAGAAGGCTTCTTTGGGGACATGATGTTTGAACTTGGATCTGAAGAAAAAGTAGAAGCATTTGAGGTGGAGAGAAAAGGCATGTGCAAAGGCCCTGTGGCAGAAGGAGCAGGAAGTGGGTTCAAGCACCTTAACAGAGGCCAGAGCTCAAGTGATTCTCCTGCATCAGGCTCCCAGAGTGCTAAGCCTATACTTCTCTGGTCTTTAGGTGTCTTATCTAAGAATTGTGAAGATGATGACCTTCAAAATCCCTTCTAGCTCTAAAACATTCCATGATTCTTTCTCGAAACAACTAATTCTTAAGCGATTCTGTGTTAAGCTTCTTGCCTTTCACCACACACGTCCTGGCGGCTTTTTTCGGGGTTTGCAAGAACAGTGTACACGTTCGGAAACAAAAGGGTTCCCTTCTTTTCCCTCCCTTCTTTGGGTTAGAAATACGATAGTGAGAAGCAAACAGCACAAACAGAAGTTCAGATGAGAGCAGCCTTAGTAAGCCCGTCAGAGTATATAAGGTGTAGCAAAGTGAGCGCCATGTTCATTGACTGGGTTACTAGCTTTTCTCAAACCTCATGGTATGTCACAGTCAGATGCGATATTCGATCGTAGCTTCTGGATGTGCCATGAATTTCGGAGGGAGGTTTGTTTAGTGTTCAACATTGTGCAGCGTGGCACTGTGTCCCACCTGGAGCTTCATGAATGCTATTTAGTGGGGATAGCAGTGTTCATAGTTACATCCTCAGTCCCCCAGTTCTTTCAGCTGTCCCCTCTGCCTGCCTCATTCCTCTGGGACAGTAGCAGCTACGGGAGGGGAGCCCACACCCCATGAAGCAGAGGGAGAGGCGGAGTGGGCTCTGTGCAGAGTGAGCAGGGAATGTCCTTCAGGCTCTCGCCTGCCTGTGCGGCCTTCTCTCCAGTTTCTCTTACTCGGGTCAAGTTTCCTTACAACGTGTTGAATGAATGAGAATAAGAAATTGCGTGCTGGCAGAATTTCAGCTGACCCCTGAAATTCGTGGGTGTGGCAGAATTTCAGCCACGCCCTTCCAAGTGAGAACTTGAATTTAAGCAGAGCAAAATTCCACGTCAGTGGCACTCAGAGCGATGGCTAGTCGGCCAATAATGAAAAGTACAAATGTTTTTACGTTCAAAGGTTAGCAAGTGGGATTCTCTCCCTGGCCGACCGGCCTGCTCAGTTACAAAACTGAAACTGTTCCGGATCTTCGCTTTCTTGAAGCTGTAGTTTCTAGGTGATTAGGAACATTTTCCACTTAGCCATGAAGCTTTTGAGCAGGCGGGTGACATTTTTTTAAAGTAAAGTTTCTTTCTTTTTCTTTAACATAACATTTTCCCCTCTTTGTACAAAGACTGAAGTTTTAAAATACCATGTATTCTGCCTCGCACACTTAGACTCTGCTCACCTAATTCTCACATTTGTCACGGGATTAGCATTTTCCAAAAGTATCTTTCTACACAAGAATCTCATTTTGCCCAGAAGTATAGTTGTTCACAGCTTACTACGCAGATTTAGGCAAAATGGACCCACTAGAACTTCTGCTCTAAAGGGCGATCATCTCAAATAAAACGGAAGCCATTAATCTCAATGAACCAGCAGGAAAATGAAGTCTGTTGAAATGATCTGAAGCCTCCATGGTGTCCAACCAGCAGCTGGGTGTGTGTGTGTGTGTGTGTGTGCAGATTGTTTGAGGTTTTGCTTATCTGTAGTATCAGATATCACAAAAAGTATTTACGGGCCCTTGTTTGCACATCAGCTTTGGTTAGTGTATGTAACGTTAGGCCCAAGACAGACCTTATTCTTCCCAGTGGGTGCGAGGAAAGAAAAAAGGTTGGACACCCTGATTCCCAACCCCCCGGCATAACCACTGGTAGTTCACGGTGGCTTGATCTGTTTCTGGGAGGCTCCCTAAGTTGTCTGCTTTGCTGACTTCCCACAGCTAATCACCACCATCAAATAGACTTGTGTTTAATTCCTTATGTTGTTCATTAGCAGCCTAACTTCCCCTTCCTTTGAGAGCATTTCGGGCCATTCCTGGTAAGACATCAGCATTAGTTTGATGTTTCTCTGCCGGTCTTGGGCTGCAAAAAGTGTGTCGATAATGGTCCACACATTCCCCTCCGAAGGGAGGAGAGACACAGACATAATTGAAACTTACAATGTCAAGGGGCGATTTTATTCCATTATTTTTAATGAAGACGAGGAGCTATCCCAGGTAAAATGGGGGAAAATAGCCTTTTAGAAACCGTAAATACCCCCACGTAAGTGATGCAGGAGGGACGTACACATTTTCTCTCCCTTTCCCATGCTTTTGGCTCCCTCACCCAAAGACAGACATGCTGTCCGTGGTCAGGAAATGCAGTGAGCCACAGGTAATGAGCCCAGTATCCATTTTCCTTGTCAGATCTCTCAGCTGATGACAGAGAGTGGCCGGGAGGGGCTGACAGAAGCCGCGCTGAACCGCTACAATGCAGACAAGCCCTCCGCCAGCAGCGTCCCGGCCTCCCAGGGCTCCTGCGTGGCCAGCGAGACGACCACAGGCACCTCCGTGGCTGCGTCCTTCTTCGCACGGTAAGAGAGGTGTTCAGATCCTTGCTACTTTGGGGTGAGCCCGTGCGGTTAACTTCTCACTTGGACCAGTTGAACTACGGTCATTCGTTAACTTTTCTCTCTAAGACAGGGCTGCTCGACCTTGACCCTGCTGATATTTTCGACTAGATAACTCTTTATTATGAGAACTGCGCTGTGTGTTGTAAGGATGGTGGCAGCAGCCTTGGTCTCTACTGGCCAAATGCCTTTGCCCCACCTGTGACTACCCAGAATGTCCTCAGACATTGTCAAATGTCCCCTGGGTAGAAAACCACTGCTTGAAGAATACATGGCTGTAGAGATGGGCTTCCTCAGGATGAGGCTTTTATGGGTACAGCTCTAGGGCTGGCGTTTCCAGATTTATCTTCTTGTTACAGAAAACGACCTGCTTAAAAACTGGTCATTAAATAGACGGCAGTTGTTTTTTTTCCTCCTTGAAAGTCTAGCTGGAGAGTTACCAAATACTCTTCAGCTAATCTTGGAAACTTTAAAAACACAAGAAACAAAAAAGAAAGGTATTTCAACAATGTTTTCTGCCTAATTTTAGCAACCTGGTGGAGACGGAGCAGGAGACAGAGAACAGCTGAGCAGGAAAGCACTTCAGGGATTGTCTAACCCGACCTCCTTATTCTATGAATGAGGAAACTGAGGACCTGGCAACTTCAGCTACGAGTTAGTCAATAGCAAAGCCAGAAATAGAAACTAGATTCTCCGCTTTTTTCTCTATGACTCATCTTTTTTTTTTTTTTTAATTTGATTCGTGTGCTTGGAACTTTGAAAACTTTCTCTCCCTAAGATTTGCAAGCTCCTGAGGACACAGGGGCAGCAGGCATGAGATGAGAAGCCTCCTTGGGCTTAAGGTCCAGCTCTGCCTCAGTTTCCATATCTATAAAATGAGGATAGTATCGACTCTGCAAGGTGGCTGTCAGGTTAAAATAAGAGGATGGAAAATTACGAAAGTACTGTACACATGTGGATTCGATGTGGCCTTAGCCAGTGTGGCACTAAGAAGGAATATGGCATGGCTTTTTAGCTATCCACATGAATACACAAATACGGCAAAGGGGCTCTGATTAGGAGAGCAGGAACTGAGAGCCGATGTCCTGGTTTAGGAGACCATAAAGGCAGCACCTGGGCCTTGCTGGATGATTGGCTTTGAAGGTCTGATTGTACTTTGGTGCCCTGTTTATTATCCTCTGAACACTAGGACCAGCTCGAATGTGTGGGAAGAAGCAGGAAATATGTATACCTTGGCCACCCAACAGTGACGGCGCTTGTGTTAGCTCCATCTATACGTGAAACCTCTGTGTTGTCCCAGACCGTTGATGGGGGGGCCAGGCTCCCTGGGAGGTTGCGTGCACGCCGTTTAGGTGGGGGAAATGAAGAGGTGGAGTGGTTTATGAGGAACTTCCACAAGCACAGGAGAGCCTAGGAGGTGATTAGAGTGTGTGTGGATAAGGATGTCATGGCAGGGTTAGTTTAGAGAAGGGAAGGATCTGGGCTGCTTTCTAGCTGCTCTCAGTATCTCTTGGGCAATTGTGTAAAAGAGGACGTGGTGGTTTCTGTAGAGTATCCACGTGGGTAGGCCAAGTCTGAGTGAGACCTACTGCTGGAAGGGAGATATCACCCAGCTGAGAATAGAGGGGAACTCGGCGGTGGTTCATTCTGCCCCAGAATAGAGTGTGGCCCTCTCCCTGAGGTACAAGGTTAGTTACGGCACATTGAGTGATTACCTCTCTATGATGCTATCCTTTTGAAACATTTTTTGATGGCCTAATTAAAATTGTATCTATTAGGGCATACGGTGTGTTTTGAAATATGTGTATGTTGTGGAAGGAGCTTTTATTTTAAATGTGTGCTTTTCAGCACTATGGGGAGAGATCTGGGTGGACCGTGTTGCATCTCAAATTCAACACACATAGAATAAGATTCCCAATATGGAATAAGCAGTGATGTCTCTGGACAGGGTTCCTGCAAGTGTGGTCTCTAGACTGGTGCTGGTCCCCATGCAGTTACTGATCTGGGATAAGTATAGAAATTGAGAGGACACATATAGAAACGTCTGTGGACAGAGTAACTTCATCTATGGAATCTAAGAATAAAACGTCGGGGCTTGTATTTTGTGCACAATTAGAAATAAAGGAAAAAGTGGTCCTTCACCACGGACAGTTGAGATGTGCTACTGTAGAGAATGGAGCCCCGGGCATCTGTCCTGTCCTTTTCTGCCTGTCTTACCAGCATTTCCTTATAAATTTAAGTAATCAGCATCTTCATACTGTGTTTCCCTGAAAATAAGCCACTGTCTTATATTTATTTTTTTCTCAAGAAGACATACTAGGGTTTATATTCAGGGGATGTCTTATTTTTATTAAGTATAATACAACAATCTACATTTATTCAAATACAGTTAAGTCATCTTCTTCTGGAAACTGACAGGGAGAGCCAAACTTGTAGGTGAGGCTGGTGCTAGTGATGCTTGAACTTTCCCCTAGCCAGATAGGATGCCTGTGACTGCACAGGTGCAAATGGCTCAGAGAAAGGAGTTATGGCAGATAAAAGGTATTCCAGTCTTCCTTACTGCTCTGTGCAGAAATGCAGGGCGTGGCTATGCAGATATGCTGCATAGCCACACCCACCACTAGGTCTTATTATTGGGGTAGGGCTTATATTTAACAAATGCATAGAAATCCTGCTAGGGCTTACTTTTTGGGTAGGTCTTATTTTCAGGGAAATACAGTAGCTGTCTTTGCTTCAGAATTTCAGTGCTCTGTATTTAGAAAACTTTTTTTTTTTGGAAAGAAATAATAACAGTTTACCTAAAAAGGGATTGGCAAAATTGGTCCTCAAGTTAGTTTATCATGTGCTGGCTTTGAACTTGAAGAAGGCTTCAGATGGAGGACTGTCCTTTACGTGATTTTTCACATTAATAGGAAATGGTAAAGTAGGGTATGATTAGATTTTCCCCATTTGTTCACTTTGGAGAAAGATTTGCTTAATTATGATCTTTGCTTTGTAACTTGTATGAGGTGTATGATCTTTGCCTTCATACACTTATATGAAGGGTGTGAAACCCAATAAGAACTCCTGGGTGAAACCTTAGCTTTGGACATAGAGGCAGGGAAATCTTTTTTATTTGAAGTGAGGTGATTTCGTATTGTGCATAAAATTGAACCTCGGAAAATAAAATGAAACTTTCAGATGACCTTATATCTTCACATTGATTTTCCTTCCCAAATAAGCATTACAAATTGTGTTTTTCTTATTTACGGGGAAAATGAGCCTCTGGAGGATTTTTATTCTATGTTCAGAGCAAGTGTTTGAAAAATGGTAAAAATTGCTAATGATCACATGAGCCTCTCCAAGACAATTCCAAGCTTTGGCAGAATGGGTGTGGTCAGCTCTGTGGCGATAGTGAGCACAGGGACTTTGAGCTCTGCCATCAGACATTATATCTGATTAGAATTTTTTTTTTTTTTTTTTGAGGCAGAGTCTCACTATGTCACCCTTGGTAGAGTGCTGTGGCGTCACAGCTCACAGCAAACTCAAACTCTTGGACTTTAAGCAATTCTTTTGCCTCACCCTCCCAAGTAGCTGGGACTACAGGCACCCACCATAATGCCCGGCTATTTTTGTTGTTGTAGTTGTCATTGTTGTTTGGCAGGCTCAGGTTGGGTTCAAACCCACCAGCCCGGGTGTATGTGGCCAGTGCCCTAACCGCTGAGCTACAGGCGCTGAGCCAGGAATATTTTTTGTTTACAGCTTTTATATTTAGTTTTCATCCTTTCTACCAAATTAAAATCAAATTTTCAAGTAATCTATTTATAGTGTAAATATGGCGTGGGTCCAGCGTGGTACTTGGATGGTGGGCACCCACTTGTATGGGTGAGTGGGGCTTAACTCCAGCCAACACTCTGCTGGCCCTCTCTCTTCCTTCCACTTACCCTCCTCTTGAAGATGCCAATCCGTACATAATTTTTTTACTATTGATGACAGATAGATCTGTGCTGGTTTGGAATTTTTACAGCAAATTTTGACCTTCACCTCCATTTAACATTGGCCTTGAATTCATTCTGTGGTGTCCACGTCCTCTGTTTTCTCTTTCTCACTTGCCATGCTGTTCATTATTTCCTCCCACCAGCTCCTCCACCTCCTTGCTGTCGGCCCACACTCATTCTTTTCTCAGGAATACTATTATGTCTTCTTTCTACCTTCATCTCTTGCACAATTTCTTCAATCTTTCAATCTCTCCAAGCCTCTTAAGTGCACCACTGACATTTATGGCTGACGTGACCCACAGGCCCTTGAGTCTCAAGGTTACCCTGGCATTAAAACCAAGACTTGTTCAGGTCTTGGGGTCAGAGGATAAGCTGGACAGAGAGGCCTGACCCCTGGCCGACGGCCCTGCCTTCAGGACCACACGGCTCCTGTTGTCAGCCCCCCGTGGGACCCGCTCAGAGCGCTATGTATACACATGCCACTGCATGGACAGCTATTACTGGTTTGATGACTGTTATTTCCACATTCTTGCTGACAGCTGACTCAAATAGCGCCTTGTTGTGCGGGTTCCAGCAAATGCTTTTCATATATAACCTTCACAGTGAAGGCTTTCTTTGGTCCCTGGGCACTTAACACGTAAAAGTGGGACTTGGTGATTTGCCAGGAGTTTATTAAGTCAAAGAAGGATGGGAAGGAGTGTGGAACGGCTCACACTTCTGTTCTGCTGTCAGATACAGTTCCCTTTAGGGGTGCTTGCGTGTTCCCGTTATAAATACATCAGCACCATTACAGAGAAAAACTATCCCAAACACGCCACAGTGGGTCTCAAGTGACCTAGGAGGAGAAGAATGGAGCTGGATGCGGAAGGTCCAATTCGTAGGCATGAATTTGCTATGGAGAGATCAGGTGTTGTCTCTGCCTCCACTTTTATAGCTGGGGACAGTTAATTTCCAGCATGAAATGGTGCAGTAGAGTATGATTAGATT